CCGGTGCTTGGCCCCCGGCCCCGCGGTGCGCACCGGCTGCATGCCCCCCCGGTCGGGGCCGCTGGAGAAGTTGGCCAGCGCCGCCTCCAGAGGCGGGATGAGGAGGCTGGAGCTGTGCAGGTGGTCCTGCACCTCGGCCGCGCTCAAGAACACCGGGGCCCGACTCATCTCGCCGCCTGCCTTCTAACCTCGGCCAAAGTACCGTAAGCCGCGTTCCCGCTGCGGCGCCCTATATGGGCGAGCCCGAGCGCGGCGGAGCCGCCCACTGGTCACCACCCAGCCTCCGGGGCGGAGCAACGCCACCCCGAGCCCAGCCTGTCTCCGCCCTCTCCGCACTCCGCAACCCGAAGGGTGGGCGAGGTCAGCGATCAAGCCTATCTGGGCTAGGAGTCCAGGCGGCAGGATGGGAGTTAGTATGTTTGGGTCTACTTTTTCAATCCTTGTAATCAGCTGTAGCCACGTTTTTTTGGCAAGACGTGTTAGTCGAGGGCTTTAACGCTCTTCGCCTCCACTCCCCACCAACTCCGGTATTTGCTGCTGTCTCTGTCGCTCTGCTTGGAAAACAGACCCCGGGAAGATGGACACACGATGACGGGGCTCTCTTATTCTTTTAATTATGGCCTATTGAAGAGATCTTAGAGGAAAGGAGCTAGGGAGTTACTAATTTGTTCTCTTTCATTTCTGTCCCCATCTGAAGTCTCTTACCCAACAGCCCCTAATCCGTGGTTCTTGGTTGCTGTAAATGTACAATGTTCTCTCAGGCTAACTAAACGAATTAACCATCACCTCTAAAAAGGGGGGCGTTCTCAGGCTAGGTGTAAATGGTTCCTGTCACAGGAAAAGTCAAAATGCAGGGTCTTTTCTTCAAGGAGTTTTTTCTGCAGATAGGGAGATAAGACAGAAGGTACACAGGAGGGTGACTCCGGAGGCAGTACACCCTAGTCGCCAAGTCAGTGACAGAGAAAAGTGCTTTGGGTAATTCAAAGAGAAGAGAGCTGTTTTTCACTTAGACAATGGTTTCACCAGGGGGTGGGGAGACATCAAAGTTTGAAATGTTGTAATAATAATGACACCAACAGGTTATGGATCCTTATTGATGTACCAAGTACTACACCATGCCCTTAATATGCATTGTCTCATGAATTAACCACCTCGGAGGTAGGGAGGTGTTATTTTCAGCCTTCATGTCCATTTGAGGCTCCTCTGAGAGGGGAAGAGATCTGTCTAAGGACACCTAGCTAGTCAGGGCTCTGCCCATGGAATCAGACTCCAGAACTAATGTCTTCACCAGTAAGAGGTTAGGGAGAGGGCATTTCAGGCCAAGTCAAACCTGAGTATGAAAGGAATTTGTCCAGTCCTTGGGAACAGTAAGCTGTCACATAAGTTAGCCTGCAACAGGGAACTGATGTCTGGGAACATCAGGTAATAAAGCTGGGAATGGGTTCTTGGAGTCAGGTGACTACCCAAGATGATGACTTGCAAAGAGGTCTAGATGAAACTAGATGAAACAATTAGAAATATAGGTCTTGTGCCAGTGAATAGGATGAAACAGACGGGCAAGAACGGAACCTGGAAGACAGGTCAGAAGATAGAATCGTATAAGTTGTTCTCCCCTGGTATTTTGGTTGGAAAGGACATGGAGCATTTATTAGGAAATGGTCACATCATAATGAAAGCTGGTAGACAACTAAGTGTCAAAAGAATGTATCAATGAAATAAGAAATTGCACATAATACCTTTAGCACGGTGCTTGCCACAGTGTGGTCACATAATAAATGAACCTCACATTTGCATTTATTTTTTTAAAAAGAAAGACGATGCCTGGGTTAGGTAAAGCTGATTTTTAATCATTTCCAGCTCACCGCTCCTGGAAATTCATGCTAGGGCTGTTGGGGTTATAGAAATGTTTATGAACCATGATTTGAATTAGATTATTATTAGATAACATTTATTGGGTTTAAAAAACACAGAGATACAAAGAAAATAAACAATTTGGTTCGCTGTTCTTGAGGAGAAAAAGGCAAAACCAAATACTCATCAACTAAAAGAGATACATAAAATAGGAAAGCGAGATATTCATTTGCTTCTGTGAACTAAGGAATTTACCCTTGGTTAAATACAAAACTTCAGTATTTTCTTCCAGTAAATCCTGAAGGAACAGCACAAGTCTATAAATCACTTCAAATCATATTCTTACAAAGATTTGGGTAACCATCCACAGCCTCAGTAAAGTAGCACAGAGAAAATTGGTTTTGGTTGAATTAGTTCTGTTGGGACTAGAGATACAGTGAACCAACAGCCCCAAGGCACTAGAACCTTTCAAAAGCCAAGTTATGCAGTTTGTCTGGGCTGGGTCAGCATTCCTACAACCTGGAAGAGAATTCTTAGTTTACCACATATACTAGGAGTTCAGCTGCTAGGTTCCATGGAGGCTCTAACACTTTGTGACATTTTATTACTGACTTAATACTTAATACTGTTGAAAATTATATTCCCTACTTTAGCTCCAGCTGAGCAACATAAGCATACTATTACTGAATAATTTCTAATAATTTCTAATTTGCAATAATTTCTAATTTGCACTGAAATAAATGAATACCTACTTTTAAAAAAATCTGTGTATATTACCTCGAATCATCTTGAATGGCTTTGGGTAGCACTATCGAGGTATTCAGCAAGTTTTAGCTGCCAAATTTGGAAATCTGGTATTAGTTCAAGTGCCTGTGACCACCTTGGAAATTAATTCCTTTTTAAAAATTTTTTTAGAGGTTTTTTGCCTTAAGGCACACGTGCTTGCTGCAGAGAGGTGTAGACAGTGTGACTTCCCATGGTCAAATGGCCACGCTATAATCCCTCTCCTCCATTCTCCTCCCTTCTCTCCTGGAATCTTGGACATGTACTCACAGAACGCCTAGAATGATTTTTCAAGCCACCAGGTCAGGGACTTGAACAACAGTAAGCCATGTGAGAGTCCAACGACCTAACTCTCCGCCATCTGCTGGTCTCTAGAAAAGAAATCCTAATAAAGAAGACAGTAAGTAGCCTTCTTCCTCCCAGCATTGCAGTGGTAGTAGCATTGGTTCCAGAGAACTAGGTCCGATTCCCGGTGGCCAGCCTCTAGGTTGAACAATGAATGATCTAGAATCTAGATCAGAAGCTGGTGTCGCAGTGTAAACTGAAAGGGGACTTGCGGTTTTACAGCAAACACCTCCCTGTCCCAAAGGCACCGGAGGGTAGAAGTTACTGAAGTTCTGCCAGCACACCACTTGACTCACTGCGGTTAGTAGTAGACTTTCAGTTGACATGTACTACAGGGTGAGTACCTGTTGTCTATGATTAAGTCACTATGCAGTGTTTTCTGTATGGGAAATCACATTTTGTATGCTGTGAACGATGTTCAGTGAATGAATGAAAAATAATTAAAAAAAAAATGCCTGTGACTGTAAGTGTTCTGGATTTCAGCTATTTTTCAGATTTTGGAATATATGCATATACATAATGAGATATTTCTCCTTATGCACTTTTTACACTATTTTATTTCAAAATTAAAAAATATTGCATTAAAGCATTTATTGTGACTATTTGGCTTTCCCTAAAATGTTGCAGCCGACTCCTAGTCTCTGTAGTTCTGGAGGTGGGGAACTGTGAGCTGGGCCAGAAAAGTCAAACGGTGAAATACCTGGTAAATCCGAGAAAGCTGGGCTGCGGGGCGCAAACCCACACCCACAAGGCAGAGCAAGCCCACCACCTCCTGCCGCCCTTGCCTTGCGCTCACCGCCGACTCCTTTCCCTGTACGCGCCGTCGACTCCGCCCACACGCCCCGGTTGGCTACTCCTTATCCACAGCGCTCCACTTTTTTTTAAGCCATAGGCAGGCTCCTTCCTATCAATTGACCCGTCTGCTCCGCCCAAGCACCGCCCACTAGTTCCTCTATTCGTTGGAGCCGCCAGCCCCACCCTCCGCGCGCCGCCGCCTGGCTCCTCCTTCCCCGCGCGCTCCCGTTGGCCCCTCCCCCGCGCGCCGCCGGCTCCCGTCCTGGGTTCGCGCCGCTGGTTGGCCCGCGCACGTTTGCCACGGGGCGGCCGTAAGGCGGGCGGTTGGGGAGGGCGTTGACGGCAGGCGTCGTGCCCGGTCGCCGGGCGCCCCTCAGCGGCCGAGACGGTTTTGCGAGGCCTGAGCGGTGAGTGTTGGGTGCTCCAGGCTCTCCTCCTGCCCAACTTCTGAAGAGCCAGAAAGTGCACCTCAAACCCCAGTAAAAACACATCTGCCCACTTTGCGACTTAGAGCAGAATTTTAACTATTATTTATTGATTTAATTTTGGTTGCAACTTAGTATTAGATAGAAGGGTTTGGGAGGTGTCGTCAGTCTTGGTTCTAATCTGAATCGAAACAAGTGACTTGGTCTCTCTGTGTTTTCTGTAATGTAGAAATAACAGTTTAGCAATCTTACAGGGTTTTTGGGTTTTCCCCTTTTTAAAAACTGAGGTAAGCTTAAAGTAACACAAATTGAACCACCTTTACCCCTTTGAAGTGTACAGTTTAGGGACCTTGATTATATTCTGTACTGTGCACTCAGCGGCTCATCTACATCATCTCCCCAATAAACCATATATTCACTCATCGGTCACTCTCCATTGCTCCCTCACTCCTAATCTGCTTTTTTTTTTTTTTTTTGTCTCTATGCAGTTGTAGATTCTGGACATTTCATATAAAAAGACTGATATGCTATGTAGCCTTTGTCTGGCTTTTTTTACACAGTAATTTTTACAAGTTTCCTACATAGTGTTTGTTGTGTATATCAATCAGTACTTCATTCCTTCATGAGCCCAAATATTCCATTGTATGGGTGTACTACATTTTGTTTTTCTGTTCATCAGTTGGTGGGTATTTGGGTTGTTTTCACTGTTTAGCTATCTATGATAGTGCTACTGTGAACATTTTGTGTACATGTTTTTGTATGGACATATGTTTTCTACTATCTTTGATGTATATTTAGGAGTGTAATTGGAAAGTCATATGGTAATCCTGTATTTAACTTTTTGAGGAACTGCCAAGCTGGTTTCCATATGGGCTGTACCATTTTACAGTCCCACCATCAGTGTGTGAGGGTTCCAGTTTATCATATGCTTTTTTTGTTTTATTGTAGCCATTCTAGTGGGATGTGCAGTGGTATCGTGTTTTTAATTTACATCTCTCTAATAGTTCATGATGTTGAGCATAAAAGGACATCTTTTATGTTCCATTTGTATTGGGTCATTGGAAAAATCAGGATAGAAAACCAGAAAAATGCATCATGACTTTTCCAACAACCCAGTATATTTTTTTTGGAGAAATATTGGGTTGTCAGAAAAGACATGATGTATTTTTACAGCAGATGGCGCTAGTTCATTTTGGAAATACTAGAAACATTTGCATCTATGTATTCACTTGACAGCTGACAGTTATAGCTTCATTCTGAAAAAAATTAAGCAATTTTGTTGAGTTTTGGAGATTTTACAGGTTGAAGGTGGAAGAACAAACTGCATTTCCACCATATTTTACAGTTTTACTTCTATAAAGGGGAGAACATGAGTCAAGCCTGTGAAAAGTTGAGTAAAGTTTATGGTGATGATGTTCTACAAGAATGTCAGTGCTGGGACCAGCAGTTAGCTGGTAATGGCTATGTCGCTGAATTCCCATGTAGCCATCCCTGGTTTGAATCCTGGACCCCGTGGCTTAAACTCACGCCAGGCGCATGTGCGTGTGTGCCCAAGATCCAGAGAGGAGAGTGGAGGAGAAGGGATTGCGGCGTGGCCATCCCCCCTGGGGGGTGATTTCTCACTTTCTATCTCTCTGTCTCTGTCTTTCTGGCAAGCTCACGTGCCCTATAGCAAAAATCTCTAAAAAAAAAAAAAAAAAAAAAAGAATGTCAGTGCCAACAATGGTTCATGAAATTCCTTGCTGGTGATTTTGGTCTTAACATGCTCTTTGGTCAGGAGGGAGGCCCATAGAGGTTGATGAGGACAAAATGAAGGCATTGGTTGAGTCAAACCTTCATTACACCATATGAGAAACTGCAGAATCATTGAATATCCATCATTCAAGCATTCACAACTACCTGAAGGAGCTAGAATACAAAGACAAGCTCTATATTTGGGTTCTTCATAAACTCAAGGAGGTCCATTTGATGGCTTGAATAAACGTTTGTAATATGCTCATTAAAGTGAGGAAAATGAAGCGGCTGATAATTGGTGATGAGAAGTGGATTGTTTACAGCAATATGGTGTATAAATTATCTTCATCTCAACATGATGATTTGCCTCAAATGACATTGAACGAAGACATTCATCAGAGGAAGGTTGTGCTCTCAATGTGGTAGGATTTTAAAGGAGTCGTGTTTTTCAAGTTCCTACTAAGGAGCCAAACAATCAGTTCAAACGTGTATAGTTGGCAGTTGGGCAGTTTGAACGAATCCATCATTCAGAACCGTCTAGAACTTGTTGATTGTAAAGGAGTTGTGTTCCATCACTACAACACAAGACCACACACAAGTTTGATCATCTGTCAAAAATCACTGGATCTTGGATGAGATATGTTGCCACGCTCACCATACTTACCTAACCTTGTGCTGTCAGATGTCCACTTGTTCCGCTGTCTTCAAAACTCCTTGTGTTGTATAAAATTCAATTCATATGAGGCTATAAATCAGGAACCTGGTTCAGTTTTTCTCTAATAAAGACAGGTCCTTCTGTGAGTAAGCTATCATGAAGCTCACTGGAAGATGGCAAAAGGTTATTGAACAAAATGGGCACTACATCATTGATTCATCTTTATTCTTTATATGTATAAATGATCTTTGAAAAACAAAAAAAAAGTTAGGACTTTTCTGACAACCCAATGTCTATATATTTCCCTTTGCACATTTATTAGTTGGTTGTCTTTTTGTTGTTTAGCTGTAAGAGTGCTTTATAGATTTTAGGATCTGAAACCTTTATCAGATACATGATTTGCCAATACTTTATTTCACTTAATATATGGGCTATCTTTTCATTTTTATGATACTATTTTGATGCTCAATAGTAGTTTTATTTTAACAAAGCCCATTTTATCTATATTTTCTTTTTGTGTTGTAGTTAAAACAATATATATCATAAAATTTTACTCATGTTTTTTTAAGAGTGTATTGTTTTAGCTCTTGCATTTGAGTCATTGAACCATTTTGAGTTAATTTTTATATATGATAGGAGGCAAGAGTCCAACTTAATTCTTTCAAATATAACTAGTTCAAACATCATTGTTCAAAAGACTACTTTTTCCTCATTGAATGAGTGAAGCACTGTTGTCAAAAGACAATTGTTCATGGATGTATGGATTTATTTCTGGACTCTCAATTGTATTACATTGCTAATTTGTTTGTACTTACATTAGTACCACTGTTCTGATTATTATCACTTTATAGAAAGTGCTGAAATTGGAAATTTTAGACCTCCAACTTTGTTTTTCTTTTTCATGATTGTTTGGCTATTCAGTATTTCTTGTAATTTCATATGAATTTTAGGATGAGATTGTCCATTTCTGCAAAAAAGGCAGTTAGGGATTGTTTGACAGGGTAGGTCAATTTGGGAAGTATTGCTATCTTAATAACATTAGGTCTTGCAGTCTGTGAACGCAGAATGACTTTCTATTTGTTTCAGTCTTTTTAACTTTCTTTTACACAATGTTTTATAGTGTTCAACGTACAAATCTTGTACCCCCTTGGTTATGTTTATTCCCAAGCATTTTACTTTTTCCTGATGCTATTTTAAATGGAATTGATTTCTTAATTTGCTTTAATATTATTTATTAACAGTGTACATAAATATGAGGACCTTCAAAAAGCTCATGGAAAATGCATATTATGAAAAAAAACTGTGGATATATTTTCAAAATTCTACCAGAAAATTATATTTTAAATCCTTTTTTCCATGAACATTTTGAAGTTCCCTCATAAAACTAATTTTTATATGGTTATCTGGCTTCTTTTTTTTTTCTTTTTTTGGAGAGGTTTTCGCTATAGGGTGCGTGCACTCGCCAGAAAGACAGAGAGACAGAGAGACAGAAAGCGAGAAATCACCTCCTGGCGGGGATAACTGCCGGAGGCCTATTCTAGCCGGGATGGGTTGAAGCTCATCCACAGGAAGATGACACGGATGAGCAGAAATTTAGGCAGAGACCTTGATGCCCTTCAGCATGTTCTCAGCCGACTACAGTCAGATGACCACACTGCAATCCCTTCTCCATTCTCCTCTTGGGATCTTAGGCACACAGGCAAATGCACCCGGCATGAGTTTAAGCCACTGGGTCCAAGACTCGAACCACGGTCGACTACATGGGAGTCCAGCGACATAACTATTATGCTAATTGCTGCTCCCTGGTTATCTGGCTTCTTGCAACTCAGTTGAATTTATGTAAGGTTATATAATTCGTGAATGTAGTTTTGCTTCTTTCTTTACAATTTGGATGACTGTTTTAAAAAATTTACTTATTTATTTATTTATTCATTTGTTTTAATTTGACCAGAGAGAGACAGAGAGAGAGAAAGAAAGTGAGAAGGCAAGCCACCAGGTCTGGGACTTGAACCATGGTTGGCCATGTGGAAGTGTCCAGCACCTTAACCACTATACCACCTGCTGGACCCGATATTTTCTTTTCTTTTTCCCTGCCTAATTGCTCCGACAATAACTTTCAATACAATACTGAATAGAAATGGTGAGACTAGGGGGCTGTCAGGTGGCATAGTGATTAAGGGCACTAGACTCCCATATGGCCTCATAAAATGAGTTAGAAAGTGTTCCCTCTTTTATTTTCTGGTAGTGTTTAGGAAGTTATAATAAAAATGACCTACATATTAGGTTATCAGGAAAGTCATGATGTCTTTTTCCATGCAAAAATGTGTCATGACTTTCCTGATGACCCAATATGTTTGTCTTTGTCCCTCGTTTCTGGAACAAAGCTCCCCAAACTCTGGAATTTTTTGAGTGGTAGAAATGTCTTTTGTTTTTCATAACTAGTCCCTTTTGATCATACTCAACTTCATGTTAATAAGGCAAGTCTTAGGAGATCCTTAAATAATTTCAGAATTGGGTTCTGCTTCCAGTTTATGGCCTCTATCATCTGCATTCTGATATTGAGTCAACCCAATGAGTGTTTTTTTTAAATTATTTTTTATTTTAACATTTCCATTTGATTTTTTGTTTGTTTGTTTTCAAGTATTTACATTTATTAAATTTACAATGAGAATGGAACGTCTCCTAAGCCATCAGTATCCTGAGGAGGAAAACTCCAACACAAAGCAAATGAGTTTCCTGTCCCCTCTCCTCCACAGTGCACCATTGAGGAAGTTGCCACTTCACAGAGCTGCTGAAGTCCTTTCTAGTTCAGAAGGGTAGACATTTGGTAGTAGGAATGTGTTCATCTTAATAATGGAGTGGATGGCCCTTTGTTAAAGTCTTTTCCATTTTTCAAGTCTCCGTACAACCTGGGAGGCAACAGGCACTGTCGGAGGTCCAAGGGTACCATCTTATCCCACCAGTCTGCATGACCAGAGTTCAGCCATCTGGGTCACAGAGGAGTGGACTGTTCAACTTTTCCAACAGGAATTACAACCACAGATGGGCCCTTTTCTTGGTATTCTAATCCCACTGGAGACTTTTCATTAAGACCTTGTTCCTTTGCACACATTTCGGGCACAACATATTGTCCTCCAGGTGTGGGGGTGGGAAACTGCAGGCTGGAAGAAGGAAGAGGGCACACACTCTCCCTTTTTGCTTCTCAGGAACCCAGGCTTGTCCAGCATGAAGCTGCAGGTGAACCCAACCACCTTTGTTTGCAGGGAGACTTCTCCCATGCACCACACACCACCTGACACCATAGGCCTCTTGTGGGGATTCCACGGCCGCTGTTTCTGCTGACTCCATCTTCCCAGCCACAGATGCAATTCTGGCCCAGGAGGCCAGCACAGCCTCTGGGGCAGAGGTTGTCACCTCAATTGTATTAACTCCCTCGAGGAGAGCTGCAGACTCTTCGGGGTTAGAAAAAGCCTCTGCAGGTGGAGGAGCCACTTCCGGAGGATTAGTCCTTTCAGAACACGTCTCTTCCTGAGGACTTTCTGCAGATGCTTTCCCTCTGCCCATCTTTAATTTTCTTCGTAATGATGACTCAATCCTGGCCTCCTTTGCTGTGGTAGGAATATTCTTCTGATTTGGATAAGCAGAGGCACACAGTCTCCGATATGCATCTAATTTCTGGCCTTTGAAGCTGATCTTTAATTGCTGGCACCAAGCCCGCAAGATGTCTTGGTGAAGCCGGTTGACTGGTGGCAGTTTAGAGGGCAATGGGGGGATGGGTTTCTGAGGCTGTAGGCTGTCATTGCTTTGTGCCTTCTCCTTTGGACAGGAAGCTTGGTCATCCTTCGCAGACCTTTTTCGTTTTTTCCCCTTTGCTGAGGTTGCCAATAGACCTGTAGATGTGCTTGGTTGACTGGAAGCCCACTGCTGCTCTTCAGTTTCAGACCCTTGTTCACACTTAGAATTTCCATACTCTTGCCTTGACTTCTCTATGGATTTCCACTTCTTGCCTCTTGCATGCTCCATACTCTCAAAGTAGATCGGGCTGATAAAGGAAAGATTCTTCTCACTTCCCAACCGGCCCGTGGCCCTCGACGGCTTTGGGAAGTCTCCCTCCATTTGATTTTTATTTATATTTTCTATTTATTTGCCAGTGGGTTCTTCTCTAAAAAATTAATGATTGATAGCATATGTGTGTATGTGCATATGTGTGTGTTGAGATAAAAAGACAAGAGACAATCATCCTTGACAAGGTCTCATCATGCTGTGATCCTTCTTTCCTAGCCCTCTAGCTTGTCAGGGTCTTGGGGATACTTCCTTCCCCCACCTTTTGATGTATCTGGAAGTCCAGTTCTGATTTTGACAGCCCTATGAGGCTGTTAAAAGTGATACATACGAAGGGAATTCTGACACAAGTATACCATGGGTCAATCTTGAAGACATTTTATACTAAGTTAAATAAGTCAGTCATAAAAGGCCAAATGGTATAATTTCACTGATGTGAGGTACCTAGAGTAGCCACATTCAGAAACAGAAAATAGAATAGTGGCTCTAGGAGCTAGTGGGAAAGGAGAAATAGCAGTACTTCTTTAATAGGAACAGGGTTTTAGTTTGGGAAACTGAAAAAAGTTATGTATGGTGGTAGTGGTTTCACAACAATGTGAATATGAATCATGCCACTGAACTATACACGTTTTTTCCTTTATTGCCAGAGTGTGCATGCACTCGTCAGAGAGAGAGAGAGAGAGAGAGAGAAAGCACCCTCCAGTGGCATTGGTTCCAGGATTTGGGGCACCTACTCATGTTTCTCAAGCTGTTGAGGCTGGGACTCAAGCCATGGTCAGGCATGTGGGATCTGGCGTCTCCAACCACAAGACTATGGTGCCAGCTCTGAACTGTGCACTTGAGGTTAACATGGCAAATTTTGTATGTATATTTTATCACAATCGAAAAAGAAAAAAAGGATGCATAGCCTTTCAGATAAGTGCTCCTCTAAAATAGCTCATGATCTCATAGGAAAAACCCTATTTGGTTAGCATTGTAAGTTACTGATTTTACAGATGATAGGTTAATTATTTTGCTTAAAATTATACAGTTTGTTAAGGAGTTAGGATTTGAACTTAGGCATCTGAAGTTCAGATCCTGGGTTCTTAATTACTATGCTACACTATTCACAATTCTGAAGAATGAATCATGGATGTTTTGAATAGAACTACTGTGTAGCGCTGAGCACAGTACAGAGTACACAAAATAAATAGTGGGTATTCACAGTAATTTGTGAAGATTTCCCTCAAAATCTATTAAAAATAATAGTCTACATTTATATCTTGTGAAAATGGAGCCACAACTTATTGTTCGTTGTATCTATTATATGATGATTTTATACATGTTAGACCAGTGGATGTGAATTTAATGAATTAATAGAATATAATAGGTAAGAGCAGACAAATACTTAATTTCAAGGTCTTCAATGGTATCTTTCAATATTGATGAAAAGAGTAGAACAATGAGTTAATATTTTTACTTGACTAGATTCAATATTTTACAAATAACCTAAATTATTTTAAATCTTTACTTTCTTTTTAAGAATTGAACTTCTGTTCCTTGTGGTAAAATGGATTTATTGTGGTTCAGGCAACTGAAGATTCTCCTCTGGAAAAATTACCTGATAAAGGTAAGTGGAGGTTTTTGTGGGAAATTGTTGTAAAGACTAATAAATCCAAAGGGAAATTTTTAAATAGCTCCTCACTTTCTTTTTAGTTTATGATATTTTTTCCCTCTTGTTCCAAGGCTCGAGGTAGCACTTCTACATCTGAAGGATACCCATAGGGTGAATCAATAGAATGAATATTGAAATGTAACAAAGAGTGAGAAAGACAATCCAGGGAAACATTCTTATTGTAGAATTAATTGGCATAATATGTCTGAATCATGAGTGTGTTTGTACACAGGAGTACAAATACATACCACACATGCATATACTCTTAGGTTAATTAATAAAGTCCTTTTGTTTCTCTTGCAGACGCGGCAGATAGTTGGCTTTATTACAGAAATTATCCTGACAGCTCTGATACTTTCATTTATTCTGAATATACGCAAAAGTATACAAAAGAATTTTCATAATGCTACCATTTTTGGTCCACTTCCCTTGACACTACCTGCTTTGCTTATTAATACTACACATGTATATGAATTGGTCTATGTGCCTTCTGGAAGTAATGCAGTAAGAACTGTTATTGAGATGGTGAAAAAGGATTTAAAATTCAATTTTAAAGGTTAGAAATTATAATGTCTGAACAGCTTTCTTTTCAATGTATTATTAACTTGTTTTAGAAGAGTTATGCTTCAATGACATTTGTAATTTATGCATTAATCTTAAATACAGTATTATGGATTTTGTCAAATAGCATATATAGTCTTGGCATAATTATTATAATACATTTATAATACAATTTTGGGGGACCAGCAGTTGGCATAATGATTATGTCACTGGACTCCCACACAGTGAACTGCAGTCGAATCTTGGACCCAGTGTGTGTGTCCAAGATCCTGAGAGGAGAATGGAAGAGAGGGGATTGTGGTGTGACCATCCACACAATCTCTCATCGATTTTGCTACAGGGCATGTGTGCTAACCAGAGAGTCAGAGAGACAGAAAGCAAGAAATTACCCCCTAGGGGCGATGGCCACGCTAGAGTCCCCTCTCCTTCATCCTTTTCTTGGGATCTTGGGCACGCATGCACACATGCCCAGCATGAGTTTAAGCCACCAGGTCCTGTGGTTGACTACATGGGAGTCCAGCGACATAGCCATTATACCAACTGCTGGTCCCTTGATAATTATTTATATACAGAGGCTGTCAAGACCTTAATATTCTCTTTATACTGGAAGCATTTTAGTTCTTCAGAGAAAACTTTAGTCATTTATTTTTATATGTTAGATGATCATGTGTTTATAGTTTTCTATGTATTTTCAAGTTTCATTCAATTTGTGAATGAGGAAAGTAATTATAAATATATGATAATTTTATTCTATAGCTTTAGGTTACTTTACAAACTCATATTTCCATAGAAATCCATTTACCCCTTCTCATCTCTCTTCAGATATTTTTTTCAAAACATCACTAGATTTCAAAATACAGGTGAAGGTCCCCTGTTCCACTTACTTCGGTGTACAATTATTGTAATAATTAGATATTATTCATAGTATGATGCAACTTCTATAAACACAAGAAACTTTACATACCTCAATATCCATTAGGTGGTTCATGATTTCAATATTTAAGTATTACTACAGCAATATTGTATTCATAGTGCAAATAGAAATGACTTATTTATTTGAATTTATATGGATAATTTACTTAGATTTTTCTCTCTATAGTTCAAGGTTTTTCTTCGGAAAAAGATTTTGAGACATACATTAAGCATGGAAATCCTGTTCCTGTGTTTGCTGCTATCATATTTGATCATAACTTCAAAACCAGCACTGACAGTTTGCCACTTCAGGTGAGAAAGCTTTATCTAAAGACCTGATAATTATATTTTTAAACATCAGGGATTTAATGAGATGCAGGTAACATCTCCATTTTATAAAGGAAAAATCATAGCCTACTTGACATCATAACTGCTAATGTTTATTTGTCAGCTAAGAATTGACTTTATTTCAGTGATATTTCCTATATTGTCAGGTTATTGAGCAAAAGTAAAATTTACTCTATTTACTCCTTCCTCTCTGACATGTAGAATACTCAGCATATTGAAAAGAATTGAGGAAACATTGCTGAAGGAAAACTGAAAGACTCGGTAGGTTGAGTACACAGTGTGTTTCGAACTCGTTCGTTGAACTTCAGATGCCATCACCAAACTGTAAAATAAAATCTTACTACATTGTGGCAAGTGTGACAGAAAAAAATATGGACATAGTCACATTTAATAGGACTAATTAATATCTATCTTAATGTCTTCATTTTAAAAAGTAAACAGTGAGATTAATAGTTTTTTAAGTGAAGTTTTTGCCTTAGGGTACCTATGCTGGTCAGGGAGAGAGACAGACACAATGAGAAAGTGAGAAATCACCCTTCCCCCCACCTCCCAGGGTGGCCATGCTGCAATCCCTTCTCCATTATTCTCTTGAGATTTTGGGCATGCACACACATGCACCCAGCATTTAAAAAAATAATCATTTATTTTAATTAATTAATTATTTTTTTATTTGACCAGAGTGAGACAGAGAGAAACAGAGAAAGCAAGTCACCAGATCCGGGACTTGAACTGCAGTCAGCCATGTGGGAATCCAGAGTTTTTAGCTACCATACAACATGCATGATTTTCAACAGATAAATTTATATTCTTGTGTCTGTTAAGTGTCTCTACTCTAAGCCCCTCCCCTCACATATTGCTAGTTTTTTTTTTTTAACAGAGCATAGATTTTATTCTAGCTCGAACTTATTTAATACCTGTGCTTTTAACCATTACATTGTAATGATGTAAACTACTGCTACTCCAAGGTCTTACTGTGATGATGAATGGAATGATAGGAACTTTAGTAAGAATACTAACTTTGCCAAGTTTCCAGGCCAGGCAGATAATTCTGCCCTGCAAATGCTGGTTAACAAGATAAAAACATACCACCACCCCCCAAAAAAAAAAAAAAAAGATTTGGAGTTTAAAACAGATGATATATACTAGAGATTCCAACATGAAAAACTTCTTTTATTTTGAGTGAATTACTTGATTTCTCTTGTAAGTGTCAAGTAAAAACTCTGCCAGATTGTATCAGAATTGAGACATCTACACACATTGGGGAAGACTGATACCCTTCAGGGAGGATGGAAAAGGACGGTACTTTGGACTTGGTTACTTGTGTTTCTTTACTATATCTTAATAGATGAGCTTCCTAGTGTTGAGGGAAATGGTAAAACAGTATTATCTATGCATAGAATCACATATTGTGTTTAGGATATGAGTGTTTGCCAGTGGAAGGAAAGAGAAAAGAAAAAGACTGGCAGCACAGTAGGGATTCTTCATTTGT